GTAAATGGAGTTTAATATAGATAAGTGTGAGGTGTTGCATTTTGGAAAGTCAAATCCAGGTCGGAGTTTCATGGTGAATGGTAGGGCCTTAAGGAGTGTAGTGTAACAGAGGGACCTAGGAGTTCAGGTGCACGGTTCTCTGAAAGTGGACTCTCAGGTAGACAGAGCAGTGAAGGCGGCTTTTGGCACACTAACCTTCATCAGTCAGGGCACTGAGTACAGAATTTGGGAAGTTATGTTGCAGTGTACAGACATTAGTGAGGCAACACTTGGAGTATTATGTTCAGTTCTGGTCACCTTGCTGTAGGAAGGATGTTATTAAACTGGAAAAAGTGCATAAGAAATTACAAGGATGTTGCCAGGACTCAAAGGACTGAATTATAGGGAGAGGCTGGACAAGCTAGGACTTTTTTCTTTCCAGCATAGGAGACTGAGGGGGGATCTTATAGAAGTGTATAAGATCATGAGAAGCATGGATAGGGTGAATGCACTCAGTCTTTTTCCCAGGGTTGGGGAATTGAGGACTAGAGGGCATCAGTTTAAGGTAAGAGGGAAAAGAATATATGGGAAGCTGAAGGACAATTTTTTTTTTTTTTTTACACAGAGGGTGGTACACATACAGAATGAGCTGCCAGCGGAAGTGGTTGAGGCGGGTACAATAACAACATTTAAAAGGTATTCGGACGAATACATGGTTAGGAAAGGTTCAGAAGGATATGGGCCAAGTACAGAGAAATGGACATTTTGGTCGGCATGGACCAGTTTGGGCCCAAGGGCCTATCTCCGTACTGTGGGACTCTATAACTCTATAACATGATGGAGGGCATCCTTAATGTGAAGACGGGACTTCACCTCCAAAAGGACTGTATCATGGTAACTTTCATCAATACTGTCTTGGGTGGATGCATCTGCTTCAAGTGGATTGGTAGGAATTATGTCAATTAGATTTTTGCCTGTTAGAAAAATATAAACATAGAAAATGAAAGCAGAATTGGGCCATTTGGATGAGTGAGCCTGCTCCTCCATTCAACATGATCACAGCTGATCCTCTATCTTAATGCTTCAGTCCTGTTAATTTCTCAGAGTTCCTTCAATTCCTCCTTTGGAACAGGCTGTAGTTTCCATCGCTTTTCTGAAAAGTTATTCATGTTTTCTGTGAACACAGAACTGAAGTAATTGTTAAACTGCTCTGCCATTTCCTTGGTTCACCATCATTAATTATCCTATTTCAGAGAAAAACTGAATTTTTATGGTGCAGAAACAGGCCATTTGGCCCACTGTATGTGCTCCAACTCTGAGCATTTTAACTTAGTACCTATGTCCAGCCTTTACCCCACAACCCCACAAGTTGTTTCTATTTAAATAACCATCCAATGCCCTCTTAAATACCTCGACTGAACCTGCCTCCACCACACTTCCAGGCAGTGCATTCTAGACCCTAACTACTTGCTGTGTGAAAAAGGTTTTTCTCATCTTGCATTTGCTTTTTTGGCAAAATACTTTAAAATAATGGCCTCTGGTTCTCAATCATTTTGCAAGCAGAAACAGTTTCTCCTATTCACTCTATCCAGGCCCCTCATGATTTTGAAATATTCTATCAAATCTCCCCTCAGCCATCTCCTCTTCAAAGAAACCAGTCCCAACATTTCCCATTTTTCCCTCATAATCAAAGTGTCTCACACCTGGATCAATTCTTGTTAACCATTTTTGCACACTCTTGAATGCATTCACATCCTTACAGTGTGGCTCTCAGTACTGAATGCAATCCACCAACTGAAATCTAACCAGTACCTTTTGTTAGTTCATGATATCCTCTCTGTTCTTGTACTCTATGCCTCAGCATTGAAGCCTAGAAAACTGAAACAAACGGAGACTCAGCAGACCTAGCAACATCTATGGAGAGAGAAACAGCTGATGTTTCAAATCTGGTATGTCTTAATACTGTGAGTTTTAATGAACAGGTCTCTCTTATCTGTCCTGCCACCTTTAATAACTTATGTATGTATAAACTTAGGCCTCTGCTCCTGCATACCCTTTAGAATAATACGCTCTATCTGATACTGTCTCTCCACGTGTTTTGCACCAAAGTGCATCACTTCACATTCCTCCGTATTGAACTATATTTGCCATCTGTCCAGCTACTCCACCAACGTAATGTTCTTTTGAAGGTTTACACTGTCTTTCTCACACTTCACAGTTTTCCCAAGATTTGTGTAATCCACAAACTTTGAAACCCCACCCGTCTTAATCATTTGTACATATCAGAAAAGCAAGGATCTCAATACCGATGTAGGAGCAAATTACTGCAGGTGCTGGAATCTGAAAACAACAAATGCTGGAGATCCCAGCAGGTCAGGCAGCATCCATGGAGAGAGAGCAAACTAACATTTTGAATCTAGCTGATTCTTCACCAGAGCTGAGTCTCTATACCGATGCCTGGGAAACTCCACTACAAACTTTCCAATCAAAAAGTATTCACTGACCATTACTCTCTGATTCCTATCATTCAGCCAATTTTTTACCACGTTTCTACTGTCTCTTTACTCCAGGGCCTAAAACTTGCCTCACAAACACGTTATGTAGCACAGTATCGAATGCCTTTTAGATATCCAACGGCCTTGCCTCTCGATTACCCGTACAGTTTTCTACCTGACACCTGTCATAAGCATATTTTTATTCTTTAACTTAATTTCTGTCTCCATGGAGCTCTGGACTCGTTTGTCCTACCTTTCTCTTTTAAGGGAATATTTTGTGACTGTGCCTAAACCATCTCCTCTTTGAAGGTAGCCCATTGTTCAGCCACTGTCAACCTCCTATTTTAGTTCATTCAGCCCAGCTGTCTTCGTGCCTCATTGAAGTTGGCTTTCTGACGGGTGATTATTCTTATGCTGGATTGACCAATGTCATTTTTCACTGTCACCCTAAACCTCATGATTGTAATGATTAGTAGACCCTAAATATTACTCCATTGTCACTGATTTACTTGGCTCACCTCATTGCCAAGAACCAGGTCTAGCGGTGACTTCTTTCTTGCTGTACTTGACATATACTGCTGGAGGAAATTCTCCCGAACACGTGAGAAACACCTGTCCCCCATTGCCCCTTACACTACTATTAGCCCAGTCTCTACTCTGGAAATTAAAATTCCCTGCTATAATTACTCTTATGATATTTATACGTCTCTGTAGCTTCCTTGCAGATTTGTTCTACATCCCTCCCACTTGCTAGCGGTCTACAGATTACACCAACCAATGTAACTACACCCTTCTTGTTTCTTAGCTCTAACCAAATTGATTCTATTCTTGAATCCTCTGAAACATCCCTCTTTCTTCTGTAATGCTGTCTTTAACCAAAAATGCAACTCCTTTTTAGTCTTTCATATTTTTTTCTGAACACTTTGCAACTAAGAACATTTATCATCCAGACTCGAACTACCTTCAGACAAGTCTCTTATTGCCTCAACAACATAATTCTACATGGCAGTCTGTACATGTAACTGCCCAATCTTATTAACTATATGCACAGCATTCACAAGAAATCAGTCCTGGCTTATTTCAGATGCAATCCTTCCAGTTTACATAGGTGTCATCTTCTCTACAGCCAGACCCAGTGTCCCAGGAATCTAAATCATTTCTCATGCACCATATTTTCAGTCATGCATTCATCTGTTTAACTTCCCATTTCTCTATTCACATGTATGTAGCACCGGAAGTAATTCAGAGATTGCTACTTAATAGGTTCTGCTTGCTAATTTTCTACTTAGCTCCCAAAATTCTGATTACAGGACTACATTCCCCTTCTAGTTTCAGACTGTGAGGGAGTTACATTTGTCATCATTGATCTTTCTCTTTCTACATACTTCTAGAAGCTCTTACAGTCTGCTTTTATGTTATTTGTAAGTTTATGTATATTCTGTTTTTCCCTTCTTAATCAAAGTCTTGGTCTTTGCTGCATTCTTAATTGCTCTCAATGGTCACACTTACTACTTTTCCTCACAACTGTATAGGACTCCACTCTGGATCGATTATCCTTAATCTCTATCATTAGTCATGGTTGGATCTCTTACCCTGTTGTAATTTTGTCCGGAAAGGTTTTATAATGTTGAAGCACAAGTATTTGTTCCTGAAATACTAGCCATTGCCTAACCACTGTCATGCCTCTTAATCAAGTTATCCATTATATTGCAGACAAATCATGCCTGATACGTTTACTGTTTCCTTTGTTTAGATTTAGGGTCCTAGCTTTGGATTCGACTACTTCACTTGCTATTCTAATTAAGAATTTTATCCTGTTACAGTCACCCTTCCTAAAAGGGCCTCACACAACATATTGGTTTCCTCATGATTTGCTGCAGACCCAGTCTGGCAGCTACGTCCTTTATTATTTGGCCAGCTCGGTCAGTAATAGGCCTATGAAGCCACTCTTGGTGATGGGCATTGACACCTCGGACAGTACATTTTGTGGCCTTGTCATTCTCAGTACTTCTTCCAAGTAGTGTTCAACCTACAGCAGAACTGACTATCAACTGAGGGTTGTTAGGAGGGGATCAGTACTTGGTAATCATGAGGTTAATGCCCAAGAGATATCCTGCTAAAACCTCCTGCTTGACCTGACACAATGAGACATCACGGATCTGGAATCAGGGTTGAGGAGTTTTGGGCCACTCCCTGGGAGTACGAGGAGAAAGGGAGGATAGGAGTTAGGAGCAGAGAGTGGCCATCCAGACATTTAAAGCCATTTCTGAGACAATGTGATGTGCCTTTGTACAAACGTAAATTCTCTATATCCAGAGAAAATCCACTCCACTAAAATCTTGCACTATTTCCCAAGGCTAGTGAGGGTAATGGAACGGTTCCATGTACATAGCTGGATGGTCACATTCTCCAACTGTTTCCTGCAAAGCTGTTGAATTGAAATCCACCGCAGAGATGCTATTGCTAGGTGATGCCTGCTAAAATCTTCTGCTTGAGTGGCAAAGTCTAAGGGAGCCACGCAGTTACCTGGTTGGTTTAGATTCCAGTTGGTGAAGGAGACGGCATCACCACCCATCCATTGGAAGACCCCCGGTTGGTTGGCATCTTGTAGAGCAGTCCAGAAGTTGCCGGAGTGACCAAGGATAAGGCTGATGATGAACGACTGCTCAAATCTAACAGGAGGCACAGAGACCAGAGTCATAAAGGACAACAGCTTCAAAAGAGTAAAACATAGCTTCTGAAGAACAGATTAGATTAATTAATCCTCACAACCTTTCACTTTTAATGGTAAACTCAAACGTTCAGCTGTTGGTATTCCAAATTATGAAAGAAGTAGAAATTGCATTACCATACTCCTGGCCAATTATCCATGTACCCCAGATGATATCTCTTGGCTACTTGGCTCTAAATAACTACACAATTTCACACGACTATAAAGCAAACCCAAGTCAACTGAGGAGCACCCTCATCAGTTGGAATATCCATAGCTAATGGGGTGATCTTTACATAAACCAGTCCCTCTGCAAGCCACAGAGTACTTGGTGGTTATTCGGGATGATGGTGGTCGTGGACAGTTGAGGGGGAAAACTGGCATTGATGGGGTGGGGGGTCCCACAGTGTTCTCAATAAGTCTCTGCTCCCTCTTCACTACTTTATCTTTCCTGAGAACAGGCACAGGAGGAATTTTTAAGTCAGATTGGATTGTTATGGTCTAAACACACACTCGGTGTTGTGTGTGCATTTTAATTGCAGCACTCATGGCACCTCACACTGTTAAACTCAACAGCCAGAGCAGGGTGCATGTGTAAATGGCCAGGAGAGACCAGAGGTAAGTTTTATACAATACTGTCCTGCACATTCTTTCAAAAGAGCAGGAGGAGCAGGAATTCTCAACTGGATCCTGCAAGGATTCATTCCATGTGCCTCTCTAGTTCAGGACTTGCTCACCATCACAGAGACCAGAGTGATAAAGGACAGCAGCTTCAAGAGAGTAAAACATAGCTTCTGAAGAACAGATTAGATTAATGGAATATTCCTCAACACTCCAAGAATCTTTCCCATAAACCAATACCTTGAATGCAAATGTGTGACTATTTCATTAGTCAGTGCTGAGTGACATTGACTTTCTAAAAGTTAAGTTAAATTGAAGTTAAGATAACACGGTGTAGAGCTGGATGAACACAGCAGGCCAAGCAGCATCAGAGGAGCAGGAAGGCTGACGTTTCGGGCCTAG